ACTTTTCTAGAGTTATTACCCGTATAAAGAATTTAGCATTTTCACGTTTAATACTTGTATTGCACACGTATGTACATATTTTTAGTGTTTAATACACTTGTTTTTTACAAAAAAATCTGTAATTCACACAAAAGTCAAGTATTTTACACAAAATACTCACATTTTATTGAATAAAAATTTAAAAATTTTAAATTTTAAATTCTAATTATTTACTAAGTAAATAATAATTAAAACGTAACTACTAATTAAAGTAATTAAAAGAGAGAAATTCAGATAATGCTATTCAATGGGTATACGTTTTAAACAAAATTCTATTTATAGAGTATCGCCGAGCGGCTATACGGCTGACGTATTCTATTTATAGAGTATGGCCGAGCGGCTATATGTTTTTCACAAAAACACGCGCCAATCGCTTGGCTAGTTTTTGTTTTTTTTAGTAAATCGTATAGCCGGGCGGCGATACTCCCCCTTTTTTTATTATAAAAAGAGTATAGCCGCTCGGCGTTACTGGGGTCCTTCCTTTTTTATAAATAGTATAGCCGTCCGGCCATACTCTTTACATACTGTGATCTAAGAGTGGTTTTGATTGTTGCCTTTACCCGCAGTGTTCTGGTTTTAATATGGGATATTGGAGATTGCAAAACATTCCTTTTATTGATCAACTTCAGGAGGTAACCATAGAGCTGTCCAATAATGGAATTCAGTTTGCAAAGTATGTCCTCAAGCGTGCTCAGAATTTGAAGAAATTGACAGTTGTTCATTCACCTCATCAGTCGAAAGCTGCTTTTTGTATGCAAAATTCAGTCTGTTGAAAACATGAGTCATATGGGGTTTTTTATTTTTTCAGTAGCTGCTTTTGTTGCTAGCCTATTTGGCTGTTTTGATTGCCACCCAACTCAGAAATTCTATCGTGCCTTGAGGTGTGAGCAACCGAGACCAGCATTGCACCATCTCTTGTTGACCAAGCAATCCCATGTTATAAGGAAATTGAACAGAAACTTTGAGGCATATTGTTTTCTATTGTTGATAGCTATCTCTCTTGCCTGCAGGTTGAATAGCTGCTTTCTTGCCTTGTTGGCTGGTTTTGGGTTATTTCGTTGTGTAGTTTTGGCCTTTCTGTTTCTGGTGCCTTTGCCCTTTGTTACAGAACAAAATTAAGAAATCATCTTTCAATTAGAATTATGACCCAATAAAGTATTCTTGCAATTATATTTTTAACAACATATTTTAGACAAGGATAATTGACATCATCTTTACATTTGTGTTGCAAAGTTGAACTTTATGTATTAGTAGTGACGGATCCAAAAATCTTGAGCCAAGGGATCATGGTATAAAAGTTCCCAAAACTCTTTTTTAAAGATGAGAATAGCACTGAAAAATTAAATGATAATAAAAACGACATTATAAATTACAATATCATAGCTCATGATACTTCCATTCATATTCCATAAATATCAATAATTCCATCTGAATCAATATCAATAAGTAATCACCTAAAGCATTCTTCAATTGAAGCGTCAACAACTTTGTTTCTTTCAATCATCTCTAACAATCAGTCAGAGTCAATACTAAAACTAGAAACACGAAAGAAATAGTGAAAAGGGATTAACCTCAAACTGAATGTGGGTGAATGCTAGTGATTCAGAACTCTGCATATAAAAAAGATTCGAAGTCAGACTAAGTAGATTTGCTCCTTCCCTAATAAATACATTCACACAAATAATTGTACTGACTGATGTGGTCACTCAATCAAATGAAATGTTTGTAAGTGCAGTTATCATCATAGCTGGTCTAATCCAAGTTTGAATTAAAAAAATTATTATTGGAATAGGTGAAGATGCCAAAAATCTTTGCAAAACTTTCATTCAACAATAAAGAGATTGTTGGAAACAAACGAAGAGAGAAGAGGGTCTCATTATTAATGCTTTTTAGGCCCCAAGCCTGCTTTCCCTCCCTCATCCTCTCTCCAAACGACCACATGCACTCCGCCACGACGACGTCCGAAAATCTTGAAAGGTCTCTTTCAGTTCTTCAAAGTTTCAGCCTTGGAGCCTTTGGATCTTTGGCAGCTCTGTTTCCTCCCAAAACCATCACTTGTGCTCGAAACTAAGAAACAAAGTTGACGAAGTTGCAGTGAGAAGATGGTAGACAGAATCAGCAACCTTCCAGACGAAGTTGCTCATAACATTCTTGCCTTCCTTGACATAACAGACCTCACTCGTTGCGGCTGTGTCTCCAAAAGATGGAGAGAACTTTATCTGTCAACTCCTTCACTGGATTTTGATGGGTTTTCTGATGCAATGCAAATACATCCACCTGCTCAAAGCGGTTAATGTTGTTGAGTTCTTTGGATAGGTTTTTATTGCTGCATTGTGCGGTTAATAAGATACAGCGCTTCCGTATTTGTTGGAATAATTTGCTTTCAGAAGAAAATCCATGTTTCATTGAAGATGTGAGGTTTCGAGTTATTACGTGGATCCACAATGCTCTGAGGTGTAAAGTTGAAGTTCTTGAGGTTGACGTCATAGTATTTGAAGTGAGACCTTATTTGTTACCATCGTCTGTCTTTCTTTGTGGATCTTTGAGGTCTCTATTGCTCAACAGTATTAGTTTGATTCTTAAAGCACCCTCACTTGCTTCTTCCTCTAATCTTGAATGCTTGAAGTTGGAATTTGTTGATATAGAAGATGATGAGGGGTTTTTCAAATGGATCTCATGTTCATGTAAGTGCATCAAGGAATTACATCTCTGTCATGTTTCTGGAATACAACAGGTCATCATTGAAAGCCCCCTTTGAAATCGTTTAGTTTTGTGCATGACACTGATTCCGATCTTTTTCCCTACCTCTTCCTTAGCATCTCAGGTGAAAAACTTGAAGAGGTACTTATTGACTGGGAATTTGGATCCACTTCCGAGAATTTTTTAAATATTTTTGCTCCAAATCTTAAATATTTGAAATGGTCGGGGAATGTAGTGCTTCGAAAAAAATTGGGGGAATTTATGTGTTTAGAAAAAGCTCAGGTTTTTTTAAAGCCTCAAGCGGATGACGTTAAAATCTTGTCTGAGGTTCTGCGCAGTATAACTATAAACAGGGTTGAAGCTCTTGTTCTAAACAAAGAGACCACCATGGTAACTAGACACTACTCTTCCAGATATTTTTTTTTCAAATTGGTGTTGTTTAGATTATATTCTTTCCGAGCATGGCAATAAGATTCGGTTAATATTTTTTTTGTTATCACACTAGCTAGAATGAAGTTTCATTTTATGTTGTTTGGTTTAGAATTGTCAATATGCAACTTTGTAATAGTACTTTTACAGATTGAGTAATTCAAAAACCATGATATGGGCTCCTACTTAATTGTCTTGAGTTTGCATTTAGTGTTTTTCTGAATTAGTTCTTGTCTTTCGGTTCACTTATGTTGTCTTTATAACTTGTAGGCTCTGTTACATGGAGTTTTCGTACCAGGGCTACTGGAGAATGTTTGTTATTTGTCTATTCATATTGGAAGCTTTCTTGATATCCTAGTCCTAGAAATGGTCACTATGTTTGCAGGAATGTGTAATTTGAGAACTTTGGAAATAAAGTCTGACCCACAGTTCCTTGACCTTAAAACTGATGTAAGTAAAAGTGTTGCCTATTTCTTTCTTCCTCTCTTTCATGGTATGTAGTTTTCCTGCCTCTATGTTTGGTAAATTACTACTTTTTGTTCGGAAGTTTCAATTGATTTTGCTTGTTGATTGTTACCTTTTCCTGCAGTGTTCTGGTTTTAATATGGGATATTGGAGATTGCAAAACCTTGCATTTATTCCTCATCTTAAGGAGGTAACCATAGAGCTCTCGAATGGGTCTAACGGAATTGAGTTAGCAGCGTACATGCTTGAGTATGCCCAAAACTTGAAGAAAATGGTGATTGTGCATTCACCCCAGCAATCTAGTGTTATAAGGAAGTTAAATAAAAGCAAGAGGATTTCCAGTGCCACAGTTGTCTTTCAGGAAGATCAACAAAGAGGAAACAAAAAGCAAAGACTAAGATAATGTAGCTTTACAAGGGCATCTCTCCTCCTGCATTGAGCTCAACAACAGCAATTTTTAGGCATTTTGTGTTGCAATGTTGAACTATGTGTATTTGACATGTAATGTAGGCACTAAACTCTGTTTTGGTCTGTTCTAGTTTAGGCCATTTTATCTTGAAACATTACAATATGACTAGAAGTTAGAACTTGATTGTGATGTAGAACAGCCCGTAGATTTAGAGTAAATACTTGAGCAATAGAACAAAGAAGAAATAAGGGATCGAGGAGAAGAATTAGAGATCGAAGAGACGAAGGGAAAGGGAAGGAATCAGAGAGTTTAAAGTAAGGAAATTTATCATTAATCAAGTTTGCCTTAAAAGATTACAAACAACTCTATTTATAGAGGCAAAACCCTTTTTAGTCTAGGAAAAGGAAAAGTAAACTTTACGAAATAGGAAAGCAAATTAACTAATAAGAAATCCTTTCCTAGGAAGGAATCTTTAAGTATTAGGAAAACTAATAATAGGAAAACTAATCCAAGTAGAATTAGGAAAACTAATAATATGCATTCTGCATCATTCTCCCCCACCAAAAAAGAACTCGACACCGGCGAGTAAACCAAGATTAAGGATGATGACGACGTTTGTAAGTATGGATGATGGGAGGACGGGATGTAGCCAAATCAAGATCATGAAGAGCATCCTGATAACTGTGCAGAAGAGTGGAATCCAACTGGCGAAATGTAGCTTCTGTAATCCAAGTATCCTCAGTAGCAGGCCTTCCAACCCAACGAACCAGATAACAGGTAGAGCCTCCAGTAGATGAGGCCATAACTTCATGATCCAAGACGTCCTCAATCTGGTCTGTAGGGGCAGAACTAGTAGAAGGAAAATGCCGTACCATAGGAGTGGAACCTTGAGCAACATCCATAGAAATAGGTGGAGAAAAGGTTCCTCGATAAGGAGATAAATAAGAAACATTGAAAATGAGACTTATATGCATATCTGCGGGCAACTCAATCAAGTAAGCATTGGACATGCCAAAGGGCATAACAAGCCACTCATATAAGCCATCAGGGGTTTTAAACGCAGTTTTCCACTCATCTCCTTCACGAATGCGGATGTGATGGTAGCCACTGCGAAGTTCTATCTTAGAAAACCATTGGGAACCAGCCAAATCATCCAACATATCTTCAAGTCGCGGTATGGGGAAACGATACTTAACTGTAATTCTATTGACGACGCGACTATCTACACACATTCGCCAGGAGCCATCCTTTTTGGGGGTAAGGAGAACTGGAACAGCACAAGGACTTAAACTATGATGAATAAAGACCTTAGCCAACAACCCCCGAATTTGTCTATTCAACTCTGCTCGCTCAGGTGGGTTCATACGATAATGGGGAAGATTAGGAATCTGCGAACCAGGAACAAGGTCAATGGCATGCTGAATCTCTCTCGCTGGAGGTAAGTCATCTGGTAAATCATCAGGTATGACATCAGAGAATTCAGTGAGCAGCTGTTGTATGGGTTCGGCAAGTGGAGTGGGGATGCAATCAGATGCCGGTTTAAGCAAGAGAGCAAATACCACACTAGTGTCTTGCAGTTCGTATGCAAAGTCTACAGGTGATAAAATACTCAATCGATGCTCCGAAGCCTTCTCTTTCATTGACAGTGTTGGTTGACCATCCTTAGTTGGTTTGATGGCCGAATTGGAAGGCTTTAGCGTGATGTTGACCATCCTTAGTTGGTTTGATGGCCGAATTGGAAGGCTTTAGCGTGATGTTCTTTCCCTCATGTTGAAAAGTATAAGTGTTCTCTCTGCCGCAACTTTTCACATGACGGTCATAAAGCCAAGGCCGGCCTAGTAGCACATGTGCGACACTCATGGGTAGGATATCACAATAAAGTTGCTCGTGACAGGAACCCAATTGAAGAGGAACAAGGCATCTGTCGGTGACAGGTAACCTGGTTTTATCTACCCAGCCAACATGAAAAGGATAGGGGTGTGGCTCGGGCTGTAGGTGAAGGCGATCGACAGCAGTTTTAGAGATAACATTCAGCGTACTTCCCCCATCAATAACTAGTTGGCATCTATCGGTACCGCAAGGGACATAGGTTTGAAAGATACTTGTACGCGTCCATGAATCAGGAGGTGGAGATGTAGGTGCGGAATAAATACAACGCAGAACACTCAGTTGGTGAAACGCCTCTTCCTCACAACAATTATCAAGTTCTGGATCATAAACAGGTTCAAGGGGCTCCACATACTCGTCCACACAAGAGTCCTCATTGAGGGAGCCAAGGGTTAAAGTT